TTTTAGTGGCAATGCTTCTACCTAGAACCAGAACTGTACAAGATTCAGGTTCGCTTGCAGACTCACAGTGGAGGTTTGATGATCACATGCTTTTTGCCAGAAATGAGACAAATGATTGTCTTGAGGAGTTCGTATTTTATATGGTGTGGCCTGTCCTACAAACAGATGGCACGCAGACAGACTTCAGCATGATGAATGCTTTAACACCTAAATTGGAATGTTGCCATGGAGATAATGGGCCAGAATGACTAAACATAGCACTCTTCAAAATGCACATGAAAATGCTATAACCTTAAAAACGGTCGATCGAAAACAAGTTCTTAAAATTACAGCTTGCACCATGTGGTTTCCATGCAGTTATAATTTCTGTGCATGTGAATAGATTTTTTTATTATTAAAGAAACAAATGCAGCATGTGCATATAGTATATAACAAAAGACAACATTTATCAAGGAACGTTTGGTAGATGATGTTAATACAGATGAAGCGGAATGACATGTCAGAACAAAAAGCAGCTCGCTCTCTTTATAATCAACAAAGTTGACTCTTAAGTGTGCACTGGTGAGGGCTTCATTGATTAGAACGTGATCGATCTTGTTTGTCGTGTCGAACCGCTTGTTTGCAGTGTAGACACACGTCATCCATCAAACCTTTGTGGTTTAGGTGGTTTGCAAATGTCTTGTGTTTTACCTTTACATTTAGTCTAGAGCTGCATAACAATTATTGCCATAATCGATCAACCTGTTGGTTATTTCTTGGATTAAACGAACAAAAAGCCTAATTTAATTTTCTGAGTTTATGAAAAACAACTTCAACCAATAAATCGCTAAATTATAAAAATAAATAAAATCTCTAAAAATTTAAGTGTAAAATGTAAGGGCAACAGGTCATTTAAGCTCAAAGGGAATTATTTAAGATTATTTAAGACAGAATCACTGTTTTACGGCTGATCACTGAGTCGGCCAGCGATTCATTGGAACGAGCCGTATAACATCAACTCTTCAATGGATATTAATATCCAAAATATAGTGAAAACACTATTAGTTAGCACAGTAACAAGATCGGCAGTTTAAGACATTAACTTGTAAGCACAAAACACAAGATACTTCTCTTTTCAATATAAATAAGACTTTATTGGATAAATCTAAGACAATATAAAATAATCTAACACATAAACACACGCACTCACACATTCACACAAGTTGCAGGAAGAGAGAAAGTGAGGAGTTTAAGAGAATGAAAATGTGAAATCCCAAGATTTATAGCAATATGTGCAATTGCATAGACCTGAACAACCATCAGTCATTGAATTAACCCTCGCATTGAGTTCTTCAGTGAGGCTAAAATTTATATTAAATGCACCAGTAGAATCTGGAGGTACTTGCGTTGCTTGTTTAGGGGGTTCCCTTGTTGTCGTCGTTGCAGAAGAGTTCGTTGATTGGCTGGAAGCAGGGCTGTGCTATTAATCGCATGCGATTGTCATGCGCGTGATTAGTAGTAAATCTCCATCACCTGCTTTTAGATTGAGCGGCATTCACTACACAGAGCCGTAGTTCACTGACAATTAGGCAATATCGCGTTCATAATCGCAGATGAATCGCATTCGATTATGAACGCGATATTGCCTAGCTTCTCAGTGAACTACAGCTCTGTGTAGTAAATGCCACTCCATCTGAAAGCAGGTGATGGCGATTTACTACCAATCACGGAACCGGCTTTACTGACGAGATGCGCATGACAATCGCATGAGATTAATTGCACAGCCCTAGCTGGAAGTCCAGTTGTCGTTCGAAGTGACATCTTGGGAAGCCAATGGTTGGGCGTTGGCTGAAGATGCGGAGTTGTGGGCTGGTTGAAGTTTTGATGCCAGCACAGTCGGAGATGGATTTGGAGACATGGCTTTGTGGCAAAACTTGACTCGGAACACAAAACTCTCAATGGAAAGAAAAGAAACTAAAGTAAAAGAAAAAAAAAGAGTAAAGTTTGACTAGGTGGCGTTTCTCCCCATGGTTTTAGAGGAGCTGCTGGCATGCAAGCCAGAGCACGCTGGAATGGCGCTCGAAGAATTCATGGGCAAAAAGCATGGCTAAAAACATAAAGCAAAAAGCATGGCTAAAAACCTAAAACAAAAAGCATGTCTAAAAACATAAAGCAAAAGCATGGCTAAAAACCTAAAGCAAAAAGCATGGCCAAAAAGCATGGCTAAAAAGCATGGCTAAAAACCTAAAGCAAAAAGCATGGCTAAAAGCATAAAGCAAAAAGCATGGCTAAAAACCTAAAACAAAAGCATGGCTAAAAACCTAAAGCAAAAAGCATGTCTAAAAACATAAAGCAAAAAGCATGGCTAAACCAACATGTTATCTTATCAGGTCACATGGTCCGGATTTTCCCGCTCTTGCAGTGAATAATTTGGGCATGATTTCTATAACAAGAATATAATACATTTTACAAAGTACTGATTCATAGAAACGTTTAAAGCATGAAAATTCAAACGCATACATACCCAACATGAATATAATCCTATAAACTATTCAATAGTTATTCAAAATACATAGACAATAAGTGATTAGGACATGATGGGGTGGTTTAGATTTATGACGTTGTCTTGTTATCCTGGGCCTCTGTGGAATTTGGCTCTTTGGGTTGTTCAACATTCAGAACGATTCGATTCGATTTGCAATTAAATTCGATTCGATTCGATTCTGAATTCTTTAAGTGCATTCACAGGATTATTTAAATGCTTAGTCAGGGGGCAAATTACACAGCAGCCTTTATAGTTACAGAACCATAGGTTAGAGAAAGAAAAAAACACTTTTGTCTATTGTTAGATGCTAGTTTAATGATGCTATGGCATGTAGGGATGTAACGATTCACTCAACTCACGATTCGATTCGATTCACGTGTTTTTTTTTTTTTTAACAAAATGAGATTTAAGACAAATTATAAATAAAATGTGTCCTTTTATTATTGCTTGGACGTGAAATTTAAATATTACACTATAATAATATACTAATATAGCACTTGCATATTATTGCTCTTTTGTTGGTTTTGATTGCTTCTATTGTCCTCATTTGTAAGTCGCTTTGGATAAAAGTGTCTGCTAAATAACAAAATTTAAATATAATGTAAA